ATTGATGTCCCTTCTTTGAAATTTTTGAATTCCAACTAGCGTTTTTAAAATTGGGCCCCGAAACACTGAAACTATTTCTGCACGAAATCGACTGAGGCAGTGAAATTGAACTCATATTTTTAAACAAAGTGCGTACAAATTATAAAAATGCCTTTGAAGAAAAGATTTTACGTTAATAAAGGTACTGCTGAAAATTGTTCTTTCAGCTGGCGTTACTACTTTTTCTCAAAATATTAAATGATTAAAAAATACCACCGCTAACAATTTTAGATAAATTGTAATCTACCTAAATTCTCAAAAGTGAAATAACCAACTCTATCAGAATAAACATAAATATGTATGTAGAATTATATATAGCTCCTATATACAAATACATATTTGACCATGAGCTTGTTCGCACGTTCATGCATACAAATGTATGTACTTGCTGTATGTACTTGCTATAGTCCCCATGAACATCACCGAAAGGAAATGATCTCATTTTCATTTTTTGTTTTATTTTTAGATTGTTAGAATCAACTCAAATTGATAATAAAAAGTTTCTAAAACTCTTTACATACTTATGTTAGAATTTTTCAACTTCATGTTAAGAATTTTAATGGAAAAACTAATTATTCCTGTAGTGGAAAATATTTCTAGTTTTATATTACCTTTACGGTATAAATATTTTGATCAATTGAGGTTAAAATTAGATCTTAATTTCTTCTTAGTATTTTGTAAATAAAAAAAATTGCAAATAGGGTTGTCAAGTTGATATTAACTATAAAAAGGTCATAAAATTTTAGAATCGATTGCGAAATTTAGAACCTGTTGTTAAAAGAAATGGATTTCAGAAATATGAACGATGAAACATATCATAAAATGTAACAAGGTACATAATGTTATTAAGAGTCTATGGAAGTCCGAATTTGCTTGCAAAGCAAACGTGCGTGTTTAAGGATAAGATATCGGAGAAAGTTCCTATATATTAAATAAAGAGTTAAGTTTGTGTTTTACCACTGACTTGTCTCCAAAACGAGATTCAATAACAATCATAAATATAAAAAATAAATATATAAGTGAAGAAATGCAAACCAGCTGCATAATGAGTGTTGTGAATATAACGATGGCTTTCAGTAACGGCAGCAGAGAAAAATGTGGTGCGAAAATCTCCACCCAACAACAGCAATTCCTAGGGAAACGGTACAACAGCCCTGTTGACGCCAACGCAAACAAAAGCTATGACAGATGAACTTAAAATAGTGGCATCTCTTTGCATATCTTGCCAGCATCAATAGAAGACAATTACAAAGAAACAACGCTTTCTTCGTCTTCGTATTTCTTTCGGCAAACAGCAAAATTACTATTCTTATTGAAAGTTCAGTACCCTAAAATGATGTATAATGATGCCCTAGACCAATACCAAGTTCTACTGTACTTTATGTGTAGGAAAGCTAATGGTATAAATCAGCATAAATAAGCACGGAAATTATTTTTATAGAATCAAGAACTTAAAGTTATGCTTTTTTCCGAAATACATCTCACCAATAAGTACAATATTTATATTCCTGGTATTAAGCGTACAGCACTAATCACTAAATGCCAAAGCGGCACAGCTGAACTAATAGGAAATCATTTGAAGCATAGTCTTTTACACTACAATTCGACAACCGGTTATAGTCAACTTCGATCACTCTTAACAACAGTTTATGAGAAAAGCAATTTGGTGAATTTTTCAAAACTCTGGGAGATGGATTTTTAACTATAGGTGATACAATGCGAAGCATACCTATTGGGCTGCTAGATCAATAAGCCCAAACGGTCGAGCCACATAATACAGACATAGGTGTCAAAAATAAATCTTATTTCCTTAACACAATCTACTTACTAGCCTACAGATCCAAGGAAATTACTTGATCTAATTGATTATGCAGTCACCAAAAACGAAGATAGGAATTTAGTTTTTGCAGAAGCTTGTATTCTGATCATTCCCCAATAAATTTGGAATTCAAGGAACAACCGATTGAAAGTGGGCATGGTAACTAAATTCAGAGCTAACTGGCTAAAATATAAAAAAAATATGTAAGAAATATATAGCCTCCTATTGAAATATAGAGAGAAACGAATCTTGAAAACGAGTTACTTGTGTTTAATAATATATCAACTATAGGAACACCAGAGCAGAGAATCCAACCAAGAATTAAAACAATATTAACTGATAGCGAGCTTGAGCTTCATGTCCGTATTAACTATCTCGTCACGAATGATGCGATCGGTAGGCTGACGCTAAAATCCAAGTTAATATGTTAGAAAAAAGTGGCCTTAAGTTACGAAGACAAAAATAAAAACAAATTCGATGGTTCATCTGGTACGACCAATAGCCACAGTCATAGAAAATTAATGTCAACCTCCGAGTGTATTTCTGCTATTAAATGAAGGCTCCTCATAAAAAAAACCATCAGTCCCTCGGAAGCGGCTTAGTATAAACTGTAAGTCCCTCCATTTGTTATAAAAACATCAAAACGCAATCTGCAAATTAGAGGAGGACTTCGGCCGAAAATCGATTCAGCAGTTACAAAGCACCAATTATGATATATAAATATATTAGTCACAAAGACGTTGCTACTAAAAAACCACTAAAAAGCGAACCACCGTTGAAACTGTGTAACGGCTCATGGGCCAGAAAGGATGAAAAAAAGAGAACTTGTTTTGCAGTGCACCTCAGTACGGTTTTCCAGCCAATTACTGTAACACCATTGTCACTTCCACGATAGACTCCTACTTGCGGGGCATCTGTACCCGAACTACAAAATTTTATTACCGACTTAGATCCAAACGAAAATCTTATGGATACAATCATATCACACCAAAAATGTTAAAAGAATTTTAAAAAATTGCTCTCGTTTTTCTTGCAAAGTTTTTAAGTGCCAAATTAAAGCTTGATTATTAGCACGAAGTATGCAAGAAAATTTCAGTTTATTATGATAATTAAACCAGCCTGCTGCCCTGCCTTTCCCACCTTTTCCAAAAAGTACTGCTACCCTTTTTCTCAAAAAAAGGATATAACTCCTGCTGATAATTTGGTTTTCACGAAAAACATACGAATTCAGAGACAAAGTGTCTATGGCAATTATTGTTATTTTTTTAAGTCTATGTCAGCAACTTATGTATTTATTATATGAATACACGTTGAAAGCGTTAAGAAATTTAATTGTTCACTTCACAAGTTTAAGTTTACATTGTGATGTGTCCCTATAACAAACGATCCGTGCTTTATGATTTAATAAATTGAAAAGCTTTAAATATAATAAGACTAGATTTATCAAGCCTTGTAATAAGTTCGACTAAATTTCTGATTATGGTGCTTATTTCGTAGTTAGACATAAATCTGATAGTAGATTTTCAATAGGGAATTACAGTGATCAATCCTCAAAAATTTTCGAAGCTATTATAACAGATCAATTAGCCCATTCTTTGTCATCAATTATTGACATCTCACAACATAGTATTCACGACCCATGTCAGTAATGGTTTCAAAAATGGTTATCAAATAGATGTTATCTACACTGACTTCAGCAAAGCAGTTGACAAGGTCTCTCATTCTTTACTTCACTTTAAACTCGACTATTCGGGTCTCTACATTTCCTTTCTCAATTAGATTCCATAGTAGTTGATTGGGCGAAAATAAAATCTAAATTTTAAATATCGTAAATCATGTAAATTGCATCAATGACCTTGCAAATGAGGTTTTTCATTCCAAAAACTCATGTTTATTACACTCCATAATCGCAAAAAGATGAATGGATCTTTATTTTTAACTAAATTGATAAGAGGTGTTATCAATAGCCCATTCCTACTTAGCAAGCTTAACTTAACGATGCCCCTCGCCGGTGTGTTTGATTTTTCGATCTACCCTAAGAGGCGCCCCTCGTTCAGTTGGGCGGGAGGTGGGTAACGCTAGGCTAGTCGTAAAAAAAAGGAAAAAAATACAACTGACGCCTTTTAACTTTGACACTTTAAATCCATTTGTACGTAAGCAAGTTGTAGTAGTATTTTAAGATTATATGCTAATGAAGCGATTGAATGAATGAAAATAACTCATCTTTTCAAGTTTCCTCCTCCTCAACAAGTTCAATTAGCATTGTCAAAGGCGAACATTTTTTTTGTTTGGGCCATTTTACAAATGATTGCGTTAAGAAATAAAAGAGCCCACAATAAATTATCTACCAAAATAAAAGTTCGTAAGCAATTGATGATCGTCTGTGGAGATGTGGGGTTAGAGTCATGTATGCCAACATAATAAAATAAAACTAGAAACTCAGAACCGTATAGCAAACTGTCTCAAAGGTCTAAAAAATATCTGAAAAAGTTGATTAAATCGGTGCTTACAGCTTGTGCAGGAAATTAGCATGACTCAAAGTTAAAGGCCTACTTTTCCATTCAACAATTAAACTAAATAGCAAGTGATTTTAAATACCTTGGCACAAACCTAAATAGGCAACACAATTCAGTCATAAAGCGTATAAATGGAAAAAAGCGAATATAAGGCTTTCCTCAAGCAACTGGTATCCATAAAATACATATAGTAATTCAGTAAAGACGCCACACAGAGAATTTGAAAAATCAATAGCAAACAGAAAAAAATTACTGTCAAATTGAAAATTATCTGAATCTTAATTTTCCTGTAAAGCAAGTAAAGTTCGCCTTTAAATAATTGTTTGCCACTGTTTTGAAGATCTAATATTTTGAAACTTATAGTTCGACTTAAATGCAGGAAATTAAATAAATAAGTCTCTTCGGTATTATAAAAAAAAAAACTTTTCCGTCACCAAATGGATCGTAAACAAAATATTATAAATAAATAATATTATAAAATCAGCAAGATGTACACCACAAATTTAAGGAGCAGCTCGCCCGAAAAGCGCTTCACCAGTCCAAATAATGAATAATTTCTTGTCGCTTGATTATTTATGTTATGAATAAATCAGGAAAAGTATTTAATCTTAACAGAAGCCCGATATACTATTATTATTGACTTCTGATGCTACGTTGCAGGTATATGCCGGCACAGAGTGCCAACCCCTCCAAATGATATTCTGACATGAATCCTGTTTTGCAATAATTAAAGGTAACTTGTTTTATATTTATTTATTTAAAATTCTATTGCTGTAGGGCCCAAAACTCCCAATGTACCGAATTTCATGGAAATCAAACAACAAATACAATTTTTTTAATAGATTAGGACAAGGCCTTTTATATGTACTGCCATTCGAAAGGTCTGGGCTCAAGCCCTGCTCAGACCAATATCTAAGATAATTTACAGAAATGAAGTTTTTGTTAGTGACGCTCGAGGACAGCTGGACATCTGGACGGTTAGAAATCTAACTTTTTCTAATCAATTTTTTTTAAATAAATTAAGAAATCTATGTTTTTTCTTTCTGATTTGTTTATTTGAACAGTTTTCGTTTGATGGTGAATATACCTAACCTCATTTCCATTGGAATTTATTTGTTTACATATTCAGATGAATTGTAAATTATTTGAATCGTTCAATTTCGGTCGTTTTCCTTCTTTATTACGGTTATTCAAAAGGTAAGTTATTGAAAATTATTCAGTGAAAACTTTATGTGTGTTTCATAGAAAGTTATCAAATACAGATTGAAATTTGTTACAATATCACGAAGACCATAACGGACCAATGTAATTATACAGCACGTCGTACGGAAGACAAAAATGCTAGGGATTCTACTCGAATCGGAATGATTGAACATCGTGCGCGACAATCAGAAGAGGCTCATGGAGCTTACAATGAGCAATAACGAATGAGGAGAAGAGAAGTTTGGAGACGGCTTAGTACAAACTCTAGGTCCCTCCATTTGTTAGAAAAACATCAAGACACAAATTGTAGGAGGAGCTTGGCCGAAAACCGCAACAATATATATAGCTCCAAGAACTTTAATTATTTAACACAATATTGATATAACGTAGACTACTTTCGCCTTACTTTTTACCCAATTCTCTTAAGTTTTCTAAAACACTAAAAAATCAATTTTTTAATTAGTTCTTAATTTTGGGGAAAATTATCGTGTCGTCTGCATAGTTTGAGTGTTCCTTTACCATTAAATTTAAGTAAATTTTCGCGCTCGCACAGAGTACACTAATACACTTGATGGTGCCGCGGGAGATAGATTGCGTGTGGCGATAATCGACTATTTCGACATCGTTTAGCGGTGTGGCTTTACGAGCAACACCAGCGAAACCAAAAATGCAAAACAAATTTTTTGACCTAACAAGAAACGAAAGAAAATTGGAAATTTCCAAAAGTAAGGCTGTTAGCAACCTCTCAGTATTTTTCGTAGTCAGAGCCTATTGGAAGTGCTTATAAAAAACAGGAAGCCAGTGTAATTAACGATATTAAAGTCTGCTACCAACGAATACTGTTTCATATTTCACACATTCTACTGTCAGAATTCATGTAAAACAGTAACTTTTCTTAAGCGCTAATTGCGTTACTGTTACCTTGCCTTTCTACAATTTTCGAAAAAGACCTGCTATCAAAAATGTACGTTTTTCCCATGAAAATGGTATTGGAATAATTAAAAATACGAAATTATTTCAAATTCAGAGTTTTGCTCGGTAACTTTTTTAATGGGGCTCAACCCTTCGGCAGAGTGTGTTTACAAAATTAAACAACCATTAACCAACTTATATCATAATTTTCTTGAACTGCACTGCTTTAATAAGCCACAAAAGTACTTAAAATTATTATTAAAATAGAGAATGGCTGCCAAAAATTAAAAAAAAGTCACTTTTACATATAAGCCAATATGTCCTCTACAATCAACACGCAAACTTAGAGATGATACGTTTCCGCCAAAGAGCTAATTGGCTATAAACCTGATATGGATGTAAGGAATTCAGTTATGAGGTACATTTTGCGCGGCATTTGATTTCTACCCGGGTAGATTAAACTCGCACGAATAAAAATAAATTTTTTCACCACGAAAAGCGTCTACTCGGGTTGATTACAAACATTTTCTTTACGTTAACTCGGTAGCATAAACGCGGGATGAGTTGAAATCAGTTGGTTTGCATTTAACCTGATTGATACAGAGTTTCCTTGTTGCTAACTCTTTGCCAAAAATACAATTATTTACCTATAATTTTACCAAAATTGAGCAAATTTGGGCTTGTCTATTAACTCCTTTCTGAATTCACCTCGAGTAAAGCATTCGTTGTTTATGCTAATAGGCTGAACTCGAGTAGAAATGAAGCATAAACCTAGTAATGGACATACTATTGTACAAACATCTACAGTTCTAAGAACAATACAGGGAGGATTATAATACTTGCGTAACGAAAATAGTTAAGCATTAGTATTTAATATAAATAAATAATATATAATGGAAGGTTTCTGAATATCTCCAGCAGTTAGTAACTATTTCCTTGGTGTATATCAACTTTGGAAGTAGGAGCGATGAACTTTTTTTTTAGATAATCTAAGCCGTACGAAAAATAAGTAATTTGATTTTCTATTTAAAGCTCAAACTCAACTTACATTCATTCCTACTGCATATTCCACTAATTCTTCCTTGCTGCTTTCCACCTCCTGAACAAATGGATGTTCCTCATTATGATCAATTGCTGCAATGTTTTCACTGTATTCAAGTGGAGTTATAATGCTTTCATTCCCATTGTCATCAGCGAACGGCTCTAGTTTTGTTTTAAGATCTGTCTCTTCTAAGTGAGATTTTTGTTTTAACAGAGTGCCAAACCTTTCGAAGAAACCACCGTCAGTGTCCTGCAACCTAAAAATAATTCTTTATCTTAATATTTTATTTCATATATAATTTTGTATGTATATACAATATTTATTAAATCATATAAACACCGCTTCAATAAAGCTCCATCTAGTTTATTTAAGCATGTTGAAATTGATCAACGTTTTGACTACTTGGTTACAAATAACGAATTTGCTTCTAGATTTCTTATACAATGTATCCTAGTTTGGCTTTCTACTGCAGGATAAGGTATGTTCATTGTAAATATAAAAATAAGTGAAAGTTAGCTTTAGATAGTCATACAGTTATGAATTATTGATACTTGAGCAAGATAAGCAAATTATTTCATTATTCTTTTTTTTCTTTAAATAACACTACGCTACAAAAAAAAATAGTTCGACGTTTCTTGAGCAATTTCTTACTTAATAAATTAAGTTTTTGAATTTAGTTTAAAGTGTGATAGCACTTTCACTGATAATATTTAAATTCATAATTTTTCAAAAAAACATTTGCCTGGAGTTTAGATGTACGAAGGATCAACTGCCTATTTTGATCGCGATTTTTCAATTTTCCGCTTCTCAATGACCTTTGGAACATCTCTACATCTAAACCAGCATTGCAAAGAAATATATTGATGGAACCACTTTCCATGTTCATGACTGACAATTAGCTGGGGAAAAAACAAGACGCGAGTGAAGAAAATAGATTTTTAGGGACATATTGTAACCGAGTTGGTGGTATTTTTGTAAAAGTTCGATAAACTATTGAAGGTAGTCATTATCCTTTTTGTTCTTTAAAAAACCATGTATAACTTCCTTGAGAGCTTCCCAATCTTCCTTATCTTTGCTAATCGCATGCTATGTCCTTTACAAGTTGATGTATTTGCGGCCCAACAAAGATGGCTTCCTTGACCTTTGCATCACTCAATTTAGAAAGTTTAAGATCATTCAGATCTAATCCTCCTTAAAATCTGGGCCATAAAATGTTGAAGGCTTGTTGAATTCTTCTTCTACACTGCCTTCATTTTCTGCTGGGGTACGTAGGAACAAGTAAACTGTCAGAATGTTGATTAGGTCGAGTAACTTGTAGAAAAATCGGGTATTTATGTTTTTTCTTATCAGCCGTGGTTGCCGAGTGGTTAGCATTGCTTTCTGCCATTCGGAAAACTCGGATTCAAATCCTCGTGCGACCAACATCCAAAAGTTATAGAAAATTAATTTAAATGTCTTGTTTCAGGAACGTGGTTTTTACGTTTTCACGTTGAGCATAGAGCTTTCCGCGATTGGATGTAGTAAATAGTTAAAATTACATAAAAAGATTCAGACTCCAAGAAAAATGATTTACACGACTGCTATTTCTGTCACGCATCGTGCCTGTACATTGTGCAGGATAGCATTTAAGGCAAAACTAGTACAGGGTATTTCACTATAACCAAAGAAAAAAAAATACTAAAATCGAAAAAATAAGCATAAAATAATATAAATTGAAATTTAATAACTCCGTATAAATAAAAGAGACATGCCTAAATTTATATAGGTACTAACTGAGCTTGTCACAAACACCGCCTCCGGCTGGCGGAGCTACTGGGGAATTAAAAAGACTCGAAGATCAGAACTCTGAATGGCTTAGGAAAATCCAAAATTTAGAGAGCATGAACTTCTTAAAGAACTCAATTCCCAAGTTATCGAAACTATGAAAGACAAGCATTTCGCAAATCTAATACAGAGTAATTACTTTTCTTCTGTCTACCGCTTCATTACAAAGTCACGAACTCAATCAAATATCCTTTGGTATAGTTACGAACACAAATAAAACAGGCCAATAAAATTAGTGTGACGAGAAATCTATAGTAAATTATTTGAAAAGTGAACCTCTGAATGTAATAAATGCTATTAACACATCTTTCTGTGTATTTGTAATTTTCCGCTACTAATTAAAGCTAGTAGCGAAGGAATCTGAGAGAAATCATATTTACTAAACCGAGTTGTAGAAAACTAATTTAAATAAAAAATTATGTTAAATCTCGCCCCTCGGTATAGAGAAGGTGCGCTAGCTATAGTCGCCCAGCAACTGTCGCATGACAAAATTAACGGCAGCAAAGATGTTCAGAAGGATAATATTTGCATCTATCCGGAAGCAGAATATTTCACCAAGGTTCTCAATTTGTCTTTCAATACTTTAAGAATATCCTATATGGGCACTGGGTAGAATGGTCTCACTTCTTTACGAGGGTTTTATCGGCCAAAGTCTCTTCTTTCCCTAATAGCGAAGACAATTAGGCCTTGCCGCCCGTTCTTCACATACCATTTGGACCCAACAGCATATCAGCATGGCTTCCGTTAAGTACACATAAATACCCAGATAGTCCATGACCCCAACCAAAACGGGTCCTACATGTAAACTGTCCTGGTAGCACTGCATCTATCAAAAGTCTTTGAACGTTGTTCTTCAAAGTACCAGCGTGTTCGGCTTGCTGGGTGGGATAAAACGTCCAATTCTGGAATGATTAGCACTTTCGACAAGCATTTTTTCCAAATATTTATCACTTCTGTTTCACATATGCCAAACCAATATACCAATGTGCATCTGCAAGGTATCGTAGTGCCTTTGATTGGAGTCGCCTGTGATTTCGCTCAAGGGGAAATCCTTATCTGCACACCTAATTACAAGTACACATTGTGTAAAATATGCCTAAAGGTATACAAAAGCGGCAGCCAACACTGCTACAAGTTGTCCTTGGAACTCGGTAGTAACATCATCGGTGTAAACATAAGCAGAGTAAACTGTGTATTTACAGGATCATATACAGTGTGTTTATAGAAAATTGAGTAGTTAGTATACTGTGTGAGAAATACAATAGTACAAAGCGGGGGCACAACTAAAAATCTAAAAAATATTGAAACTTACATTTACTAATGAAATGATCCCAGTCGCAGAATTTGGAATTGAGAGGACCATAAATCGTTCCCAAAACCATTCTCCCCAAGATACCCCAGTCACAAGATAGACAAAATTATCAACGACCTCCAAGTTATAACTTTCAATAGTGACGTACGGTCCAAGCAGCAAGTACGATGAATGTTTATTTGATATTTCATCTTGTCCTCGCTCACTACCACACCCATTCGTTTCGAGTCTTTGTCAAGCTTGGAGAAGGCAGATCTATTACGCTAGCAAAAATTTTATTCAACTAAAACACAATATGCTTCAACTTTGTGACATCACGATTTGCACACAATCGACCCTGCACTAAAAAATTCAACAACAAAAAATCAGATTGGGGATTTGAGTGTGAGCGAAAATGATATACACATTCCAGCTCCCTGATACGAGTGAAATATACACTTTTGATATAGAACAAGTTCGTACGAAAGAGAGAGAAAAAAGCGTGCACCTACAGTAATGTATGTATGCCTAAAATTTATCCCAATGGTCTCTATGTATGAACAATATAAAGGAAAGTTTTGCCATTTATGATACATACAACACTTTTTCTTAGATATATAGCTTACATAAAGGAGTAATAAAACAATACTGGTCTTCCTGGCTTGAATTCATATAAATATCACAGTAGTTGTTTCTGTGAAGATTTATCAAAATAAATAACTATAAAACCAACTTCTATTATCAAATAAAGTATTAATTTTTTGGCTTGAGTTTTACAACTTTGTACCTGAAGCCAAGATTTTTGAGCCCTACTACCTTTTTTTTGAAGGGTTACTGACTTGTCCGATCCGACGTGCTACTGCCAGCAAAATTAAATTTATAAATACGTCACCAACTTAAAGCAATACTATATTTTTTATTTTAACTTTTGTTAGGAGCTCACAATTTTCCTCCATTTTCAAATCAAACAAAAAAAGAAGAGCAGCGAAACAGATTACTGCCAAATTAAAGGCAGTGAGAATGGGGTAATTCATTACGCTGTGGAAACACTACATATGTATGAATTTAAATTTGTGTTGGACTTATCTATTTAGATCGAAACATCTATTGCATTAAAATTTTAAACAACCGTTTTGGAATTGACAAATAACTTTATTTTTTAAATAACTATTGCATATTATGTAACAATTAATTTTGTGTGAAATAATTGATTCAGTCACACGCCACAACCTCGGCAACCGCATGGGATAGCTTAGCTTATTCAACTGGGCAGTGATTGTGTGAGATTTGTAACGCTTTTAGGCTCTGATACCGATGGGAGGATATTGACTCTCCTTACCCCACATCTCCACAGACAATCAGGAATAGCCTACCAACTGTCATTCTGAAGGATAATTTGATTTTCAGTTTTTGTATGTGCCCACTTTGATTGCTTAAAATAATGATTTTTAAATATTCAGAAATACTAAAACAACTTGCTGAAGAGAAATGCAACCTAATTACATGGTCTCAGTAACCATCCGTGAGGAAGACGAACCTGAGATGGTTTAGGTACTTCAAAAGAACCTGCATCATTCCAACCCAGCGTCAGCTGCACTAACTCTTTCTTCGTCTCAGCGAAACAGCGGAAAACATCCAAGAACTCTGGATCGTAATAAACAAAGTATGTTGATTGATTTTTGATTGCACCGAACACCGACAACATGAATTCTTATAGTTATTTTTTTCTTCTTTCTAGATACAGCGATGTCGACATTATATGCATCACAGTAAGGCTGGAGAGCAAGCTTCTCTGCATAGCTTCCTCTCCTGAGATCACCTCATACCTCTGCGTACAAAAACCGAAGTAAGGGTGGCAGGGACTAAATTCAAAAAAGCACTGTCTGAGTCCCTCGCAAACAACGTTTAGCACGATAGGTACAGTTTATCGCTATCAAAAAGTGTATTTCTCTCGTTGAGCTAAACTCATGGTCAAAATTTGTTGAACCGGTAGACGTTGTCACTAAAGTCATGCCCTTTGTACGGGGCACAAATATATCATCAAATATGAAAAATACTCTGGAAAGTTAACTATCACTTAAATGTGTAAGCATATAACAGTAGACATAAAGGGAATACAAAAAGTAGAGTTATGAGAATCCATGTTTCTTAGCATCACATGTTCTGCTTAAAATTTATTTGATTCTCTTTGGATAATGACGTATTTGGATAGCCTCATCATATACCTGCAAGGTATGCAACAAACTCTTTTGGCAGACTGTCCTTGCAACGACAAAACTTGTATTTTCACTTTCCTTTTTGTTGCCCTACATTCAGAACTGAAATAAATTAATGTACGTGCTAATAAATCTAGAAGTGTAGGTACTGTGACGGGGCTATAATTCAGAGGAGCCACTATATTCGGTTTAGGAGACCGTCGAATTGCAGCGTCTGTCCACCAGAGGTGCGGCTGCGTGCTGGTGTCGATCTATATACATTTGTAAAAACTGAAAACTTACTCGCCTAGCAAGGTTGTGCGAAAAAAAGAAATGAATGGCCCTATTCAGCTATAATCGCGTAAGCGGTGTCTACAACAGTAAATAAGACGGAGAATACGTCTATTCCGTTGTAATATTTTTTCATTTAAGCTGTTCCCAATACAAGTCCTTGGCTGGAGTTTGCTTAACCGGATGTTACCTTTATTGTTTCTTTTCTTTTAGCTTGACAAATCCCTTGTTTTCTGCATTTTTGGATAAATAACGACCATATAGCATGGAAAGTTAGAAAACTCAAACTCTTTGTTCTTCTTTAATTTGACAGACCTTCTGCGTATTCAAAAAAAATTCGCCTAGAGGTGGTTTAAAATGAGGAAGCGGTTGGGCGAAGGGGTTGGGACCTACCACATAAAAAATACATTCTCTGGGCTAGAAATAGGAGCAAAGCGAATAAATCTGGCAATAAACGAGGACAAGATGAATTATCTCCGGTCACCAATCAATCGTATTGGCAATAGCAAAAGATGAGCTTTACTAGATACTCGATTGCACTGATATCGTCAGCAAATTAAAAGAAGCAAAGAAATAGAGCGGTTTTTTGTTTAGATTAACATGAGGAATATGTTTTCTTCAAAGTACGATCCAGAGATCGATCTATGAATGAATCTATGGGTACGAAATTCTTTTCTTTTTGGCAGATAGACATTATCTATTCGAAAAATCTCTCCTTTTCTAGATTCTTTGCGCTCAGTGGAGGGAAAAAATTGACTAGCTAGAATCTTTGTTCCTAGATAAACATAGTAGACCAAGGACAATGGTTGGAAGATAAATCCAATCAATGACGAGTTGTTTTGAGTTTGGATGTGTTGTTACATACATAGCGACTGCGCTATTGTGAGTAAGCGAAGATCAAAATACTGGCAAAAGTCTCACTCTGACTCATTCATATTCATGTTTTTATAGAAGACTTAAGCCACAACAACATATATAAGGCCATTGGTAGATCAAAAAATATATTTAAGATTTTGGTTAATGATAACTTTTAATAAATCACAATATCAATTATAATAATTAATAATTGAATGAAATAATAAGCCCACAGCAACTTGTGGCCGGGTCTGCTAGTATTGTATATATGTATATACTATATGTAAATTCATACATATTTGTGTGTATTTGCTTCTTTTTTTTAAATTGTTTTATTAAATCCATACCTGCTTTCATGATCGGTCGGTGGGCTTACTTCCTGCAACATTTCGTACATATTTTTCCACATCTTTTCTTCATCCATTTCAATGTTTTAGTTCAATCCACTAATATTACCCGGTAATATGATAAACGATATACTATTGTTTAAAAGCAAAACAAACAAACTTGTCATTCTTTATGTAGTTGCACACATATGTGTTTATGTGAATGGTAATATACAAAATATTTACGTATAAAAATAATTGAGGAGATAATTAGTTGGCTAATAGCTTACTAAATGTGTGCACGTTCTCTTCTAAAGTTTTACAGCAATATATTTTGTGATTTTGTTGAATCTGAAAGAACAAAAGTTAAAAGCAGCAAATTATGCCAGGGAGATTATTGTAGTCATGGGATACTGGCAAGGTCATAGCAAAATCTAAATTTTGTGTAGAAGTTTTTCTTCTAAAATATTTGCGACTCCAAAAGCCGAAGGAATAGCAGAACATTAGTTATATGACCTTATTAATTTTTCTAATTGCGCTCGCTCTCTGCTGTGAATGTCAAACACTCGGGCGAAAATCGATTCAGCGCTTATAAAGCGTAAATACACATATCTTTAATAAAACTCCAAAAAATATATATATGTGTACATACATATGTGTATATTATATATATACCTATATATGAATATTAATATATAAAAATGAATGTTTGCTTGTTAATGACGCTAAAGATCGAGAACAGCTGGACCAATCTTGATTACATTTTCAGAGGTTTTTCGTTGTGGATCTGGTTGCAAAACTATCTTTTTTCTAATTAAATTTTTTTGACATAAATTTAGAAAGCTATACTTATTCCTCATGTTTTGTTTATTAGAATGGTTGTTGGTGAATATGCGTAGCCTCATTTCAATTAGAATTCATCTAAAGAAGTAACGCACTTCAGCAGATTTGTGAATTATTTCAATCGTTCAATTTCGGTCGTTTGCTTTCTTTATTACGGCTATTCAAAAGGTAAGTTATTGAAAATTATTCAAAGTGTGGAGTTGAAAAACATCTTCTCTGTTCTTTTGCGCACCGGAACAGAAAACCAAAAATGTTGTTTACCAAGCTACTTTACATTGAAAAAATATAGACAAATCGTAAATAAATGACTTTCAACACAATATGAATTCAACTTTCTTTTCTTTTAAAAAAACACATAATTTCACACAGAACAACGCCTCTGATCGCACAGCGGTATGTTTTTCAATAAAGAGTTTACTATTGATAAGTGACTACTGTGCAACTAAATTCCTCCTATTGTAAAATCCCTTAAGGATCAGCATTTCGCTGATAAAATAACTGAGGGTAATAAAATTTTAAGACAATTCATAACAATTAGTCGAATATCTATTATTAGTAGAAAAAATGAAGCTGATTGTGAAACTTTTTTTTATACATCAAAGAAATCTATTTATTGAATCTGCTTAATTTAAGCTTAACAATAAGTTTAAGAAGCTTTTAAAAGCCAATAAATTACTGCTTTAGTCTATTAATAGCAATGGCGAGTTTGACTTGCTGGGTAGGATAAAACGTTCGCTAGCTGATTCTGATGATTTCGCAATTTCGACGGGTATCTTTGCCAGGTATTTGCCACTTCTGTGTTTACCGTTGGTATTTCAAAGTTCCTATGTAAATTTTCGCTACGCATATACCAAGCTCATCGTTTCTTCTGCAGCTGAATTTGCCGTTCCCAACTCGTTCTTACGAAAAACTGTTCTCTCGAACCCTCCTACGACGGCTCATCATATATTATCATCGTTCATGCTTCGGCACCATATAGCAGGACGGGAAGTATAATCGAAAGTTATTTGCTTTAATTAAGTACTCAGTCCAAAGTAGCACCTGTTGGCAAAAGTGATTCCGTTTTGGCCTTCAGGACTGACATTGTTATTGGTGTTAATGCTGGTTTCAAGATAGACAAAGTTATCTACAACTTCAAAGTTTTGACTTCTCAGCAGTGACTTGGTAGCCTATTCGCGAATGCGAAGACTGATAGCCGAATATATTGGCCTCGTTCACTACTAGACTCATACATTGATGGGCATGCATTGAAGGCCATTGATGTCTTGTAGACGTTGTACCTGCTATTTCTTCCAGCAATAAATTAACTCTTTCAGTGCCGCACGGAAAGAAAGTGCCTATGCGAAAAATCCCGTGCGATTTTTAGAGGTTTTATAGGGCACGGGAAAATGCTCATAAAAACCAAACGCTATGCAATAATCTTCTTCTTTATTTACGTTGGCATCGCTTATGCGATTATAGCCGAACCAAATAGGGCACCATTCACCCTTCTTTTTCCTTCCATTTGAAAATACAAAGCGAAGCCAGGTCCCTCTCCAGCTGATCCTTCCAACGAAGTTGAGGTCTTCCTCCTCCTCTACTTCCACCTGCCGATGCTGCATCAAATACTTTCAAAACTAGAGTGCATTCATCCTTTCGCAAGATATGATCTATCCAGCCGCTGTCTCTTCATTCACAGAACTATTTCAATATCGTCATATAGCTTAGCTCGTTCCATCCATTACGGTATTCGCTGTTACCAATGCGCAAAGGAAAACAACTGACTCACAATCCCAAGTAGCACCTGTTGACAAGATTGATTCTGCGTTGAATATAAAGGCTGACATTGTTGTGGGTGTTAATACTGGTCCCAAGATAGACAAAGTTATCTACGATTTCAAAGCTATGATTGCCCACAGTAACGCGAGAGCCGAGTCGCGAAGGCTATAACTGTTTGTGTGATGACAGGAGATATTTCGTCCTGCCTGCGTTCACCACCAGACCCATATCTTTCGCTTCCTTATCCAGTTTGGGGAAGCAGAACTCACGGCGCGGTTATTGTGGCTAACTTTTCAATGTCATCGGCGTACGCCAGGAGCTGTACATGTTTATAGAAGATTGAACCTGCTCTATTCAGCTCCAATATTTTATCCAGCAAAAAATAAAGAAGTCGCATGATAAGGAATCACCTTGTCTGAAACCTCGTTTGGTACCGAACGGCTAGAAGAGGTTCTTCCTGATCCTGACAGAGCTTTTGGTGTTCCTTAAATAGCCGTATAAATTTTGCGGGGATACCGAATTCGGGCGCAGCTTCGTAGGGTCAGCTCTTATTAGTGCTGCCGAAGGTTGCTTTAAAATCGACGAAGAGATGGAGTGTTTCCATCCTTTTTTCACGAGTATTTTCCAAGATTAGACGCATTTATGGTCAATGGTTGATTTACGATGTCTAAAGCCACTCACACGGCACCCGCGCTTGCTGAGTGGTTAGCATTGCGCACTGCCATTCGGATTCATTCATATCCTGGTGTCGTACTAACTTCCAAAAAGTTAAAGAAAAATAATTTAAATAAAAAATTGAGCTAAATTTTCAAATTGCGATCGCCTCTCGGCATGGAATGTCAACCGCTTCTCGTGTCTTTCTGACATGAAATAAAGTTCGTCATAAAAAAAGCATCAGCCATTCGGAGGGGGCTAAGTGTATATATACAGATAGGGCCAGTTTGTTGGCCGGATAATAATTGGGGTCGTAATGTATAAAGACCCGACTGTCGCGGGAACTATTGGATTTTGGTCGCCTCTTACGACAGGCATTTCTTACCTCGGGTAAATTTTTTAACCCCTAACCCGGGGGACGGATTTTAATCGTCGGAAATACTTTCGTCCGACTATATTCTGCAAAGTAGCTGTCAGCTTGTCTTCTTTGTGTTTTTCTATATATTTCCTTTGTTTTGTTTAAGCTTTCCTTCATTCCAAGCGTTGGCAGTGACATCTGTCGGCGAATAGTTGCATTAATTGAAGCCATGGATTGATGGCACGGTTGCATTCGGTGTGTGCCTACCCAGTGGTATAAGTCTCCAAAAGGAGGTGTTCCTCAAAACGATCCCTCCATGAACAAAAATTAGGGCAACGGAATGTATTGCGCGGGCATTCCGTAAAAGGGGTGTCGTCTTTTCCTTGAATGCGGCGAGGGGAAAAATTATCCCAGTGTTCTTGGTGTGCCATGGTAGCGTGCGCTATATAACCCGGTCCCTTTGGGTAATGGGACGGCGTCAAATGATTGGGCGCCAATACACACTTGCAGGAGAATTTTGAAGGCCGACAGGCGAGAGACGTGCTTTCTTTTGTGTTTAGCCAGGAGTGGCAGAGAGGGCAGTTGAAGCCCAGGATAATTAATTTCGATAGTAGTGTCATGGTTTTGGATAGTGACCGTACTGTACTGACCCCGACAGTACGGGGGTAGTGCGAGTGGGTACATTACCAGTTGGGTTGGACCTCACCTCGGGTGCACCCAAAAACCTATTTTGTTTTATTGTTTTAAGTAGTTCGAATTTCCTGTTAAATTGTTGTCTTGCGATTTTTTGTTTATATCGGCGTTAGTAAGATCAACTTGGTGTTGTTTTTCTTCCTTGGTGAATAGTTCTGTTATTGTTCGTAGCTAGCGACTCACGCCGTCTTCACTAAGCTGGCCGGTCGATTTGTTAGTTTTTTTGTCATCTCCTTTTTGTGCGGTAGTTTGTTTTGATGTGTGTGGTTGTTAGTAGTCGGTATAAATGTATGTACGTATGTACATGTAATAGATAAAAGTGGAGGTGACAAATTGGCGCCCATCGTGGGGCCCGATAGAATGTTGATTTTGGTATATTTTGCGGTTTTGTTCCAGCATTTATTTAGTATTAATAGGGCATTCCACGAGTGGAAGGAGATTTGATTAGTCTAACATATCGAGAAGGAATTTGGTGAATCCGTAATTGCATAGGAGCATTATACCGGTAGAAAAATTGTAATTCAACTGTGTTGATACTGGTCCGAAAGTGACTAGTAGTTGTTGTGCGAATTAGTTCGTGGTTTTTACCTTTTTTAGTTAATTAAAGATTTTTGTTCTTAATATTTTATTTTCTTTTTAAATAAATTTTTTTTTTTTTTTAAATTATTTCATTAGTTTTTTTATTGTCATCGTAGACGACATATCCGTTTTTTTAATTAAAATTTTTTGTTTTGTGCGGTTAGGCTCTTCTGTTGGTTTCATGATAGGGTCTTTTGTCGTGCCAGTATAGGGCAACGCAGAAGAAGCAATAGGGAAATAGTTTTTAATTTTTTTCTTAAAAAAATTTTTTTTTCTATTATTTTTTGGCTTTTGCTTTTTTTGTTTTAAATCGTTTTATTTTTGAGTTTTGTTATTTTGTCATGGAGATTAATCGGTTAGCGCAGGATGAGCTCGCGTACGAGATGGAGTCACGCGGCCTTCCAGTCGGTACGGTCGAGGCCAT